AGGGAAAGGCAATGAAAATACTCTTGGCATTAACAACCCATTACCATCAGGGCTCAGACTGGTGCAAGTAAACCACTCTTACCACCAGGAAGGCAATTTCACTAGTTTAATCAGGCCCTCATTGTGAATGGGGAGAAGGCAAATGAAAGTTGAAACTTAGTAGGGTTTCAGCGCAGGCCCAGTTATCAGGGTACATGTAAGAGTAGTCCTCCATCCGACAGAGGACTACATTTTCAGCCTTCTGCTCCCAACATAACCATAAGACTGGTTGGTAAAAAGCAAATGTAAATTTGAGTGCATGATTCACCTATTTTTTAGTTTCCTACAGAGAAGAATGGGACCTTGATGCTCCTCTGTGTACCTTTACGCACCTCTAAATTTCAAAACAATATGATCCTAATAACAGTATCAGGTTCTTCTGCAAATACTTCAGACATCCTAATGATCAATATATTTTCTAATATTACTTTAAATTGAAGTTCTATATATTTCAAAATAATCTACAGCACATTACCTAAAAACAAAGGAGCCGCTGAGTGCTGTTTAAACTATCCACAAGCCAAAAGTTATAAGTTGGTCAGATAAATAGGCTAACGGTGACAATAAGATTTTTCTAAAATACTGAATGCAAGTACTCAAATGAAATAGGGCTGAATATTTCTCAATGTGAGCATGGAGTTATTGCAACTGCATAAAAGTGAATGTAGGAAACACTCATTCTGTGCTTTTAAAATACTAAGTCTTGCAAAGATGCTCATAGATTTCAGATAATTGCATGAAACCATTAAGCACTGTTGCATATAACTATTAATTCAGAAAGCATTCCTCCACGAAAAGCTGGGTGTATTACTTCTTCAAAAAATGGACTTTTGGTAAACAGAACTGAACAGACATCAGTGCTCAAATGATCTCTAAAGATGAAATGAAAATGTCAGTCCTTTCCTGAATGAGGCAATGCATAAGTGGAAAGCTCTCTCTTCAGCTCAAAAAAACCAACAATATAAAGTAGGGATGAAAATATCATGGTAGTTCTAATATTCTCCTTCGCCCTGCCAGCTGCAAAAAGCAGTCTTGCAGGAAGATGCATGCAGATGTAGGCTGCATCTCTGTTAATGTCTGTCTTTTTTTTTTTTTTTTTTTTTTTTTTTCCCCAAACAATCTGCAAGCTCTCTGGGGGAAATTATAGGAAGCTTTATGGTTTTCTGTTCCCTACCTGACCTTGGTGTGGAGGTTAACTTGGGAAAGGGTCATAATGCCATATTCTTGTGCTATATCTAAGTGTTGCAGAGCTGCTAGGGTAAATGACCATAAAAAAAATTATTGCAAACTAAGAAACATCTGGAAAAGTCTAAGGCATGCTGTGCCAAGCTGATATGGGTCTTATAAATGAGTTTCTACAAATAGTTGAGCAAGAAAATCTGATACATGATGCACTGTTTCACCCCTTAAAACCACGAACATCAGCTATGAAGATAATTTAAAACAACTGAAAGTCTTAAGGAGCTTAAATCAATTTCAATGCACTTTCATGGCCCTCAAAACTTTAAACATTCTTTTAAAGTAAACCAGAGCAAGCCAGTCAGGTAATTAGAAACCACTTCTACTCTGCTATCTTAAAATGCAGCCATTATTTCTGATAAGACCACTGTTATTTCCTATATTTCTGCATTCTTTATGCATCCCTTGTTGTGTCACTCAGATCAAGCAGAAGAAAGACACAAATTTGCAATGCCCAACAGCAATTAAGAATTCAAAAGAACTATTGGTGATGTGTCCACCTGGAAAATTTCATCAATTAAAGCAGTGATATTTCACCAATTAACCCCAGTAGATGGTTTTACTTTAGAGAATAATTAACTGTACATTTTTTTCTAATTCCTCTAAACTGTCATAAGATAAAACACAAGTGTCCTCCCACATAGTAAGTTACACTGCTGTGATAACAGAAGTAGACTTGTCTAAAATACTGCTAGTGCAAAACCAACGTAAGTCCTGTGGGAGATGCAAGTATTTTGCTAGTATATACTGAACCTATTTTCTGGTTATTTTGTTTTATAATCTTTGTGGCTTTCCAGGAACTGAGGTAAGGTGGCCTTGCTCACAATCCTCTCATCCTCCATCCCAGCCCTCCTCCTCAAAGACCCTTTGAAACCTCTTATTCAACCCTAATGACTGCAGGGTTATTTCAGACTGTCTGAGGCAGGGAAGTGAAAAGTTCATCAGGACCAGTAAACTTGAGTAATCTTTAACCTTTTCATTCCTTCTTAGCATGCATGCCATTAGTGATATTTAGCTATCAAACTGCAGTTAATGCTCCAATGAAGCAAAACCGTATTTATTCCTATCATCTATTATTAGCTCCTTCTTTTAGTTTTTTTTTTAGGCTTTCTCTGCATGGACTTTCCGTCACCTGTTAGTTGTATCTCATTTTGTGCTTCAGTCTTTCTGATTTTGTCTCTACATTATAGTAATATATGTCGCTACACAGGCTGCTTATTCAGTCTTTTGCAAACTTTGGAGTGGCTGAAGAGAAAGAATAAGTCTCTTTGCAGGTAATTTCTCATGCCATGCCAGACTATAGCTAGTATTGTCAGAGACGTCTCAAATATAATCTAAATTTACAAAAATAAAAAGGACCTAATCTGTGGACAAACAGATTTGCCTCAAACATTGCTAACTAATGCTTTTGTTGTGAAAAAACACTTTGTTACATGTAGGTTTTACTGCATAAAGCAGTTTAGAAATAACACAGCACTGCCAACAGACTTCTAACAAAAATCAAACTGCAAAAACCCTATTGGGGCTATAACTCATAAAATTACACCATTTTCTCTAGGTATATATATTTGTTTTGAGGCCAGATCAACAGGATAAATGTCTCTCTCTGGACTCAATCATACTATCTCCATATGGGCAAATCTGAAACTTCAAAATATTGCCAAAGGCAAAGTATTTGGAACCACCAAAATTAAGTCACTGAACAAATACATAAAGCATTAGTAGTGGGGGTTGCTCAGGAGCTTATGCCAAACCATTAACATTTTAAATGTGATGTTTAATATCCTCTGTATAAATGTGATCTTTGGCATAAATTCATACTCTTCCACATCATTCTATTGACCTCACCATTCATGTAGCACTAAAAATTAGTTAAGGTTTTTATAAGCTACATAATAATAATTAACTTTCTAAGAAATATCTTCACATTCAGTTCATGGTACACAATGTAAATTACTATTTTAAAGTTAAAGGCACAGTGCAAATTACAAATTACTCATGTATTAGTGTATTTTTAACTACTGTTGTTTGCTATACTGGTGCACATGTATGTTTATCAACATTGTAATTATATTAGTAAGAGGTGTGATTTTAGCTGGTACAGTAATACTTATGAATGTAACATAAGAGAACGAAATGTGGGGAGAGTTTCCATCTGAATCTGGCAGAGTTGTTTAGGTGTTTGGTTTTGTTTGTGGTTTGTTTTTTTTTTTAATCCTGATTCACTGAAGGTGAAATCTTTCCATGGAAAGAATTGGTACTGAAAAATCTCTGCATTTATATAAAAAGAAAAATAATCTTAACACTGTATAGATAATATCTTTCTCCTTAAAGTGATTTTGTTGTTATACAATTAAGTTTAAAACATTTAAAATATTTGTGACTTAGTATAATTTTGGGTTTTTTGGATTAAAGGCTAATGACATATTTTATATTGACTTTAACTTCTCCACATGAGGTAAGAGTTTCACTGTCAAATCCTGAAAATTTTCACATGGAGTGAAGTTGCCTAGCAAAGACTATTTTTTTCTCTCATGCAAAAGTCAAAATAATGTTTCATGAAAACAAAAAGAAAAATCTTGGTACAACTGTGCCAAGGTTGTTGCTCCTCATCAGAATACAACTTAAATGGTAAAACATCTGCATATCAAAAAAGTCTTTAACAGAGCAAACAGAGGAAAACCCTTTCCTGCTTTTCTTTGCCTATTCCAGACACTTGCCAGGACTGTGCATAGAGCAAGGATCTCATCTGGTAAACTGTCTCCCTGCCACTGTTTTAGTAAGGGTCTGTGTAATGATTGCCATGTGAGAAGCAACTTGTCAGGACTGAGTATTTTAAGTCAAGACCAGTCAGCCGAAGGCAGGGGCCCACCAGCTCTGCTCATGCTTCGAGCTAATGGGAAGAAAACTAGTGGGGTCACACCGCTGGAGAAGATTTGTGGGGAAGAGGGCAGAGATATGGCTTTGGAGCTGGCAATTGCTGGGAGAGCAGGCTAGAGCCAGCATACACGAAACATTATGTGGCTGTTTAGATTTCCCTTCCATTAGACAATTTTCCCCTTTTCTCTGGTTGTTCAGCTGAACAGGGCAACAAAAAAAAAAACCTTCTCAAGATAGAAAAAGTGCCTGTAAAACCTTAAAAAGCAGTTGATTCCACATCCAGTGCCTTTCGGCTTTCTGTTCTTCCTTCCTTTCTTTTTTTTTTAACATAAAAGACTAAGCCACTAATTAAACAGTGTCCCTTTAGGAAAACAGGCAGAGGGTTTATTTTTTTGGCTCCTGTCCTTTTGCCTCTCTCACTGGTTTCTGTGGTCACTGTATCTATAGGCAAGCTCACCTTTCCGAAAGAGTAGATCTGACGCTTCCAGTCCTCATGAGCAGGCTCTGAACTTCCTGAGTGCTTGTTGTCAGTCCAGAGAGAGAGCCATGATGGCTAAGAGGAAGGTCAATAGACTCGGAACTGGTGTGAAGGCTAGTCATGGACTGGTAACTTGGTGTGTCCTTACTGCCCGCTGAAGAGCTGCTCAGGTTTGCAGCCCACACAAGACCACCTGATGTGAAAGAGTGCACTGAGGCGGGACTGGAAGCCAAGGAGTGACTTAAGCTTACAACATCTGCATTTAAGTCCGAAGGTTTACTGAAGAGGGGGCTGCTGCTACCACTTTGCCCACCTGCACTGCCCATGCTGCCTGTGCCCGAGGACGGCGATTCCAGGCTGCCTTGCCGTGCCAATGTGGTACTAGGGCTGGGCATTGCCGATGTGGGTTTCACACCTTCAGTACTGGGTGCAGAGGCAGCTTTACCACTTGCCTTGGCACCAAACAACCTAAATGTAAAACAAATAGCTTTAGAGAAACTGATAGCCACATTAAACATTCATGGCGCAACATCCTAAGAGCCAAACTACACATTCTTAATTACCACTACTAAAATCATGCCTACCTAGTCGATCAATCGCATCGCAAAATTAAATTCACTTAACCATATCACAGTAATTAGGGCTTGTTTCATTCAATCCTGTTCAGATGTGCTCTTTGCACATACAGATCCTCCCAGAGAGAGGTAAAATAATCACATTTTTGTCTTATTAGTGCATAAACAGATTACACTTTCACCCAAATTCACTAATTAAGCGTTCCCACGACTAAGTCATTAGCTTTCAAACCTCTTGCTTCTCAAATCAGCTAAAATGATTGCAACAAACACTTGCAAAATCCTTCATAGTTGAATAACTATCTAAGTATTTGTGTAAAATTTCCCTCTCATTCTTTTGCACAAATGATCATGTGGTCATCGGTCATGTAGTAACCATTTGAACAGAATAAACTGCACTAGAGCTACATGGGCTCAGTTTTTCTCCAAGGGAACTCATGACAGAGGTGCATTTCACATAACTGTTTCCAGAAATTCTAGAAAAGGAAATTCTGCAGTGATGATGAAAAAATAAGCTCCAAATCCTCTAAAACCATTGAAATAAAAGGTCATGCGATGACTTAATGTCTTACAGGAAATATTTGAAGCTGCTGTTAAGATGCAGCTCATAAATTAATAAGAAATAGATGCAAAATGTATCGTGATGTAAAGCAAGCATGGCTAATAACATAAGAATCCATTTTACATATTACCAAGCCTACAAAAAAAAGCTGCAGCTCCCCAGCAGCCTGGAGATGCTGTTTTGGTAAGTAGGCACAAGAGGGCACTATTGGCTTTTTCTCCAACAGCGCGAGTGCTTCCCTCCCAATTTATACTTCATCCAAAAATCATACTTCCAGAAACGTTACAATAGGGCAATTCCAATTGAAATTTAGCTTAGCTAATGTTTGTGGCGAAAGATGTAACAAAGCTGCTAATATATGGAACTTTTGTAGCTGGAGCTGCCAACAACGTGAAAGCAAATATTTTATTATAATCTAGAGAGCTCTTCAGTTCTCTGACCAGGCTATGGCATTGCCTGTTTTCTGTAACAGAATGTGCCTGAACCCAGCGTCCTTCTCCCCTTTCAGGGTTTATCAGAGGATTTAGAGAGAACTTTACATGTGTCTGGACTTAGAGTCATAGAATACGTCGAGTTGGAAGGGACCCATAAGGATCACTGTGTCCAACTTCTTCTAGCCTTCAAGCTGTTGTTATGGGAATGTACCTAAGACCTTCAAGGCTCAAGGAACAGCCATTTCAGGTCTGGGAAGGTCTTTAGATCTTAAGAGAACTAATTGCCTCGAGTGAAAAAAACATAACTCTTTCTTTTTTTGTACTTTATTCTATGTTTCTGGCAAAACACTTTCTGAAAAACCCTTTTGCCCATATAGAAATAGAATCATAGAAACATGAGGGTTGGAAAAGACCTTAAGATCATCAAGTCCAACCTACACCACCCTAACACTAAAACCATCTCCTGAAGTGCCACATCCATCCACTTTTTAAACATGTCCAGAGCTGGTGACTCCCCGATCTCCCTCGGCAACCCATTCCAATGCTTCACTACCCTTCTGGTGGAGAATTTTTTACTAATATCCAATCTAAACTTCCTCTGGAGCAACTTGAACCCATTAAAAATCTCTGCTTTATACATTGCAACTTCAGGAATTCATAGAGAGGCACTAACCTTCGGAAGGTGGGGGAAGCGATATCTGGGTATTTGGATCCCGGCTGCCTAAGTCCCGATGTGCCAGAGGCGCTCGCCGAGGTTGGGCTGGATTTGGGGGAACTGGACAGCGAGACGCTCTCAGAATCGGACACGGCCACTTTCTCTTTTTCCTTGTCTGTCTGGTTGATGCTGACAGGGCTGGACCGCCCGGACCCGATCTTGCTCGGCTCTCGCAGTTTGGTGGCAGCAGCCCCCGCAGACTTGCTGCTGACGTTGGAGTCAATGCTGCTGGTGCTGGAGCGGTGGCCGCCCCTGCCAGGGATGCCACTGCCACTGGATTTCGAGGGGCGAGGCAAACTTCGATACTGCAGAGTCGTCTTCGAGTTCACATGCAGGACGCCGTCATCCTGGTTCTGGGAACCGTCTAAGCTTGTTTTCCGCCCTGCGTTGGACTTCCCAACAATGCCTGAGGATTTTGGCATTTTTCCTAGAGTCGCTGACCCGCTTGTGATGGTCGCTCCACTTGTGGTGATTATGGTAGAAGATCCCATCCCGGACTTCTTGAATCCAAAAGAGCCCGTGGCAGTTGACCTCCCTATGCCAGAAGGAGGCTTTTTTCCTTCATCGCCGCTGCTTTTCCCTGCATCCGATGGAGAGCGCTGAATGGAGGCTCCTTTGAGGGGAGTTTTCACTTTTTCTGAAGCTTTTGCATCATCTGTTTTTCCTAAATAAAGTATATTTGAAAAGGTCACTTGTGTTTAAGCTGGAATTTCTCAATATCTAATTCTAACACTATATATTCACAATTTCAAAATGGAAAAATAAAGAAACAAAAATTACTCTAAGTAAACAGCCCCATCAGCAGTCAGTAGCAGGTGTGATACATTACAAGAAAGCATTAAGTATTAAAAGCTTGAAATTCTCCTTAGAACTTCCAGATTCATATATACCTGGAGAATACAGATGTAGAATATTATCTTGAATGAATTCCTATGAGGAATTTTATTTGGTGCCTTTTTTTTTCTTCTGTTAATTGTATTTCTATATGTCAGAAATAACATTTGAAAATAAAACATGACAGGTAATTAACACTTCCAGATGTATGACATTAATTATGCATGTAGAAATTAGTAGTACTTGTTGAGTTCTTTGGTTGTCACTGATTACATTTTTTTTTTGTTGCTTAATAGCTAAAGTTTATTCTGTGTTTAGTTACACAACATTATCAGGGAGGGATTATGCTATCATTGTATGAATCTTCTTGATCCATACCCATATCAATTACATGAGTTAATAGTCTTTGTCATAGCCTTGATATCTTCTCAAGATTTTTGATTTTCTGAGAGGCTGTCTTCAGTACTACACAGACACATATCTATATACCATATATGTCTAAATAATGTTATTGTGACATTTAGGAAGGTTTAAATAAGATAGTCTATCTTAAAAGAAAATACCATCCTCCTATTTTACAAACAGACAAAAAATGATATTTGTCTTCTATTCTAATTTCTTTTTAAGCACCTATTGTATGCTCCAATAAGCAACAAATATTCAGCAGAACAAAGTTTTTAATTCACTCTTCAAGTGATTACGGATGTTTTGGAGGTAGATGGCCTAATTTCTCTTAGGGAGCTAAACTGTAGTGAATAGCAACACCTACAAGTCAGAACTAATTCTACTCATGTTTTTATCCAGTGCGTATTTTATGCTACACAAACACATGCACATGCCAAGATACATATCACACTCCTACACAGCAAACACATAGATACTTACTATACATTAAAAAAAAAAAAAAAGGACTCAGTTGCACAGTGGCTGCCTGCTCATCTTCAGCAAAACATAGTTGGGAAATTTCTTTTGGAATGCAGTAAACCTTTTAGTATCTCCTTTATAAATTGCTGTTCTGCATATGGCCACTGACCATGGCAATACTCTCTCAGGGATCTTCTAGACCAGAGGCTGACAAATGTTTAGCAGATCCAAATTGCAGAGAAACAGAAGAGGCTCACAACACATTTAAACTTATTCTAAGAAGATCTTTGTTAGTTGCCTTTACACTATGAGTTAAAGCATGCTCATGCAGTATTTTGTCAGGACATGACAAAGACCTAGAAAATGTCCTACAAAGAATCCATATTTCCCTAGCAAAATGTTGGATTAGACGGTGTTAATAATGATGTCTTCCACCAACTTTGGATTTTTTGCTTCAAAACTAGGTTGCAGAAGTTGTTACTACATTTGAGAGGCCTTTCAAAACTGGGTAAAATTTGTTTTTTTGCACACTGAAGAAAGTGTGTAAGAAGATAATTTTTTTATCTCTTTACAGTGGCCTATAGAATAACTGCAGTATCTGGTAAGTGACAATTCATCTATAGTTCAGAAATACTAATTTCAAGTCCCCTCACTCAAATGTTAAATCTTTTTATCTCAGGTTCTAATCTTTGGCCATGTCTATGCAGATGTTCAATTATCAAAAGTCCAGGTTTTCTACAGCAGATAAGGCATAGATGAGCCCAAAAATACTTTAAAGAACTACTTAACAGAAGCTGACATATTCAAATTACAGCAAACCAACATGCAATCACAGTTTCTGTCACGTGAGATTAATAAATTACTAGTATGTAGCACAGCAAACACTTTTCTAGGGATTAACAAGTTAGCGTATTACAACATTGGCTCACAATCATTTGTGAGAAGAACTACCAACGTGCTTACAGTTCCTCATGTCTGTCACACACTTAAAATATCGATCAATTATTTTTAGCCCTCTAAAGATTCCTTACTGCTTATAGATGAATTCTAAGAATAAGGCCTTAATTTTCAATGCTGCACTCTGAACTACAGACATTTCCTACCCGGGGTCTTCAGCGCACTTGTTCCTGCTTTGTGCCTGGACTGAGCTGTTCCTACTTGTGCAGTCATGCCTCTCCTCCAGGATCCAGTCTGCGAAACTGAGAGAGATGCTTTCTGGCCCCCCTTCTCTGACTCTTCAGACAGCCCCGAGGGAAGACCTTTCCACTTGCCACTGCAGTCTATGCTGCTGTCAAAGTCTTCCTCTGTTTTCTTCAGTTCTTCAGTGCTGCCCCAAGTTTCGCTGTCTGTAACTGAGCGTTTCTCTGAGTCTGTCTTCAGCTACAAGAGATTCGCATGAGAAATGGTCAGTCTCAGCACCTTCAGTATTTGCTGGTTTTTAAATCACAGGAAGGGAGGAGGAAAAGCATATTGATTTATTTGTAGCAAGGGCCATGGGAACTTCCTTTCTTAAACTTTAGTATCATGATCCCAAAAGTATAAAAACATTTTCATTTGGTGAAGACATTTTTCTTTTTTCATCTATTTTCTAAAGTTTTCAACTCTCTCCTTCATAGATAAACTACAACTGAGTGAAACATAATTTACTGTAACTATGAGTGGTGATACCCTATTGTTCTTCAACTCACTTTGAATTTCACAAATGAATCACTGTGCTGATAGTTTTTACTAAAAGCTTGAATAAGGGATTCCTATACATCCTGCACAAATCACCTCAGGCTGGTTTCTTGCCTTTTCCTACCCAAGCTTTCTGCTGACCAAGTTAGGAGTATTGCTCCTGTTGTGCCACCAGTGATTAAGGATAACATCTTCAGCAAAATTATCAATTATCATTTAATTAAAATTATCAGTTCAGCTGATGGCTTTTCTACTGATTTGTCCCAAGTGAAATAAATTGTTTCCAGCAAGAAACTAACTTTAACTCCATCAGCTAGCAGAGCAGCTAGAGGAGAATCTTACAGCAGCACTACCCACTGCTGGGGTGAAGGTAACCAGCTGGGGTCACACTTGCTCTCTAACTCAGGCCATGTGGAAGATGCCTCAGTGAGAACCTAACACCCGTGTGGCATCTGCTTTCCCTGCAGCGTGCTGATAAGGGTGTGCTGCAAGGAGCAGTCCAGACAGACAATGTAGAAGATGTGAAAGTGGCTTAAACAGATAGGTTGAGGACTGACCCTGCCCTCTGTGTTTGACAAGACCTGCGTTCTCTATGCTGACAGGCTGTTTGTTGTAACCCTTCCTCTCGTGTTTTCCTACAGCCTCCTGACCTCGTCCTCAAGACTTACTTGCACATCGGCATCTCACCAGTCCTGCTTACCTCTGCCCCTCTTTAAGACCAAACAAGTGGTGCTGCTTCAGGAAGCACCACAGTCTTATCCTCATGCAGCCAGCCTAAGCGGGACTGCAAACTGGATCATGTTCAGGGGAGGGCTATTTATTATTCTGTGTTGCCACAACCCCTTCCCCACTGAGACCCTTCTGTGGCTGTTTCCTAGGCTCTGCTGTCATAAGTAGGATTAATGCTGATTAGATGACTGAGAGAATAACTAGTTGCCGTTTATATTTTTGTCATTTTGAGGCATGCAAAATGCAAAAGCACTTCCATAATTTCATATATACTTTGGAGATGCTAGCACAGATTTTGGGTTAGGATTGATGGAAAAGAGCCCAAGCAAACATCTACGCAAATAGTGCAAGGTCTTTCAGAAGAGAGTTTTCATTAGTGTTGCTATAACGTGTAATGCTCCCAGAACTTTTCTCATAGCTATACTTTTCATATAGCTATACATTTTTAAAGCAAACTGCATTATTTCCAACAAATGACAAATGTAATTTTTTTTTTCTAAAAGCCTCTCTTCACCATTATGGGATCCAAAAAGCGATGTTAATCCTCTTTTACTAAGAAAACAAAACCAAAATATGCAATTTCTGCCTCAGACTATAGCCAGCTTGCACTGCTCTGACTACTTGAAAGACTGCAAAAGGGATTTGTGTGATGCATGAGTATATCTTACACCTGGAGAACATCAGGCAAAAAATATATTCTGCTTATCTCAGCTTCTGACAGATTGGAGGCTAGCATAGACACAGCGTATCCTGTTTAATCTGCCTGGTAAAGGCAGACCTGATAAAAGTCTGTTCCCAGCCTTCGTAACATAAAGCAACTCTGGCAGGAAAGCAACATTTGAACACTTGCTGCATCTTTGTCTATCACCGAAAAAACTGCAAATAGTATCTGGCTGAGCAGCTAGAATATGAGACCACTGGAATGAAACACCTGTAAAGACTGAGACCCTGATGGAGAGGGTAAGGCAATGATAAGGGTTGGTGAATGCTGACATCGGTCTGATTATCTTTGCAAGAGTACAGCATTGGTGCGGAATCTGTTCTGCAGCAGATTTAAACAAATTTTCCTTCCCAAAGTAACTTTATTTCTCTATTATCTAGGAGAAATGACAAATACGTGTTTTTCTCCTGTTGACAAAGTCTTCCACAATGCGCATCTACAAAACAGATCTCTGAAGTGCAGGCGTGGGCTGTCTGCAGGAGTCTAAATGGAATTGAGAGTGTCAGTCTTATGTCCTGAATATGTGACATAAAATCACTGGAGACAAGAACTCTTCCCCTCCACTGAGTGTTCAGTCTTGAAGTTCCCTGATTGTAAACAGGAGATGACATGGCAGAAAACACTTTTCTATTTGAACTAACTCTTCTGGTTTTCTTTCTTTTTTGGAGGGGGGCAGGGGCAGAGGGAAGAACTAAGTCGTGCAAGCATTCTATATTGTCTTTTTTGTCACTTGCCATTTTGAGGGCAGCTGGGTAGAAATATTGGGATACCTGGCACAGGGGCTTGAGGTATACATACATAAATATATATACACACATGCATATATATAACGTACATAGCTTTGTGGCTGTACACTGCTCAGAACTCTGACACTATGCACTGTCAGCTTGTGGGCCCATGGGACACTTTTATTCCTGGATCTAAGTGAGAAGAAAGAAGCTCTGCCGCCTGTGGGCTCCTTTCTTCAGTCTCTTTACTCCCAGTGGAGAGAAGAGGGAAAGGATAGTACAACCTAGGTATTTCTTCCCTGGTATGTGTCAGCTCACGAAAGATGTAAACCATCTGATTTTATATTGGGCTATCTGTTGAAAGAGATAATCTACATGAGATAAAGTGAGTAGAAATCCACCCATCACAGATCCAGTCATACTATGACTATTTATGTTAGGGTGGCTTCAGATGCTTCCTGGGGCTGGGACCAGTGGGGGCTCCCCCAGAATGGGAAGAGCAGGGTCTCATCAGATGTCACCTACAGCAGTGGGATGTGCCCTTGGAGCAGGGCATTTGAGGCATCAGCCCACGGATCAGGGTTGAGTCAGTGGGGTCCATGGGCTTCTTGCACACAAATGTGATACAAGTTTGTAAAATATGAATATTTAATTTTTTTCAGAGGCATTGATACTAAACATTTTTCTTCGTAATCCTGCATGCCTGTGGGCTGTTGCAAGAAATGGCATTGAAGAGCTACTCACCTGGGCATGAGTATTCTTCCTTGAAGAGGCAGTTATATTGGAATAGGAGCTGACAGATGAAGTGGTGTTCAAATCATCAGTGCTGAGGTTGTCAAGAGTGTCACTGAGGCCACTACTAACAGAGCTGCTGTCATCCCAGCTGCAGAGAAAGAAGCACATCTACTTTACATACTGTGTGTCAACAGACAGAAAGCATCTCAAAATCAATATACAAGATTACCTGTCCTTCAAGAGGTTTACCAGAAAATTTTCAGTAATATTTCCTAAAGTACAATGAATATTAATTTTCAGACTTTTAATTAATTCTTCGGTCACTGTCAAGTGGTCACTTGTTCAATTAATGGAAGATCCAGCTGCCTTTTAAAAAATTAATGTCAGGTCTAAGCAGGCACTAGTGTAAGTCATCAAAACAGGTTGTTTCATGCTTCATTGCAGCCACATTCAGTACACTGGCAGGGAAATCCATTAAACCTACCTGGTATTGCTAGCCAAAGCATTATTAATAGCTTAGAGAACACCTGATGGATTTCCAGGCAAGAGTAAAGTAAAATGACTGTCTCTTCTGCAGCGTAATCAACTGTCAGCAGGAAGACACTATTTCCAAAAGTTTTATTTTCTTGTCTCCAGCCTTTGTCTAGTGAGTGCAATGTCATCAAAATAGGAATCCCTGACAATACAGTCACCAATGCTGACAGAGAACACATTATATATCTCTTCAGAAACACAGGCTGTCAACTCTTCTGCTTTGGGAGATTGAGGGAGACAATGCAAATGAGAGAAAGGCTACTCTTATAGAAATGTCATTTACCTACTCTCACAAAAGCCATTGCATTTGCACAGAAGGGAGGTTGATCCTTGTTTCTCAGACCCTTCTCTACACAATGGCTTCTCCATGATGTTACATTAGAACTCTTAGCTTATTGCCACATATAGCAGCATGCTCCCAGTTTTTCTGCATCTCGACCTGTTAATTTTCTTTTCCAGGCCACAGAGTCAGAAAAATATTCCCCTCATCACTTGCAGTGGGATTCACGTCCTATAGTTTTAGCTACATAGAAGTTAGGTATCTCATTTACAATATCTGTCTAGGTGCCCTCTCTAACCAGCACAAAGAAGCAGGCTCCTCTGGGAGATAATTCATCCTGGCTTAAAATGTCTCAGGTTTGTGGGATGAACTGTCCACTGGAGGTGTCTCTTTATATCTTTCCCTCTCCTAGAGCCTGTTCTAGCCACAAAACTTCTGGAGAGACAAAGCTAGGTGACACATTTCTGCATATGGTTAAGTTCAAAACACAAGAGAGAGTACATAATATCCTTGGTTTGCTGTAGTCTACATCATGAGCTGACAATTACAAAAAATCTAAAATTCAGTCTCACAGTCGAGATAAAACTCAGTACTATTGCTATTGAGCAAACAAGGAAAATATCTGTGAATCCTTACTTTACACATGGTGTTCTGGGAAATTAAGCTCACTTGTTCCCTTCTTCATAGAAAGTTTTAGAAAGTCATAACAGCAGTGACAGTGAACAGCAGGGTACAAAATGTGTGCTGATGCACCAAAAAATTCAGTGTACTAGTCTTGTATCATAGCAACTGCAGCAAGCATTACCTTGGTTTCGTGAAAGGTAGAAAATCACATTAGTTAGCCAGCTCAGTGATGAGATAAACAGATTTCAGAAGGCAAAAGTTTATTACAGTGTTGTACTTTCCACCGCTGAGTACAATGACTACAAATAAATGTGTTCTGCAACATTTCCAGGTAATACACCTGGGTGATATGGTACCATGAGTATTTTCATAGTAATATTTAATATCTAAGAAATTATAATATCCTATCTTACAGGCTGCCCACACCCATCTAAGAACCATCTCTGAAGTACTAGTCATTTATACTTTCTCTATTTTTCAATCTAATGCAATACAGAATTTCTTTGATGCTAAAAGCCATTATATATATACCTTGTATAACAGTATTAACCCTGAGAACCTTTAGAGACAGATAAAAACATAAATAGTATTAAATATGGTTAGGTTTTAGAAAAGATCATATGTCCTCATTAAAAGATACTTTACAAAAGAGAAAGAAGTCATAAGCCAGATCCAAAATGAGATATGTTAGGTACTTTCACAAGCAACATGAACTTTTAATGAATGATATGCATGTCAAGTAATATTTGACCATCAGATTTTTGAGTCTGCTCTAAGACTCTGAGACCAAGATCAACACTTAGTTCTGTTTCTCAATGTTTGTTTGTTATCTTACTCTCTTAATTTCTGGAACTTCATTACATGCTCATTTTTATCTCTAATAAGACCAACATTTTCTAAATTCTGAAATAGTTCAGCTGGTTGACCAAATATCAACATCACCTCTACAGTTGAAGTTTTGAGATAAAAATGACAACAATCATGTTTCCTTTCTCATATGGCTTCTCTGTGGTGTTTCACACTCATCACACCTCACTCACCAGTGGATTATTAGTGGGTTCTGGGAATACTCATGGCCATCTTGTAAGATATATAGAAGATTATTTTGACACCTCCACTACTGACCTTTCAGAGTCATCACTATATTTGCCTGGATTTTTTCTCTTATGACAGGTGCTGAAGATGTTTTCTAAATTTGGGGGTTTTCATACTCCCAAATTTCTGCTAATATTTTGTAGGTCTATAAAAAATCAGAAATGTCCCAAAACTCTTTCTATCCTGTATGGCAGTTTCCTAAGGACTATTAGAGAGACTGATTCCTACTCAAAAAAATGGGTTTTTTGAAAATACAAAGCCACCCTTTTGGCAATGAAGATCATTGTTCTGCAATGATTTTAGTGCATTGTTCTGAGTTGGTTTAACTTGTTCATACAGATAAAGCTTTTTTCTTTCGGTACACGCCGTTCCCCATGTCTAGAAAGTACAGTTGCTATCAGATGAGTTAATATAATTTTTGGATAATGAAGATGTCTTTTTTACAATTGGGAAAAATTTCTTGATGATTCATATTAACTTTCCTTTAAACTAGCAACTGTATGACAAACCTGGTAAAATTAGATGTGCATCATCGTGTGATTGAAAACCCAGCAAATTCCAACTGTAATTTCTGCTCCTGTTCCTCCTACTCCTCATCAAAACAATATTAATTGTCAAACTGTACCTAAGGGGTTTAATATAAGCTTTTAAATACACTAAGATTCATCTTTCATTTACATTTTATTTCATTTTTACCTTTCTCTTTTTCATGCATCCTATAGAGTTTATGTTAGTTCTGTTGCTTATTAATGCCTGACACCACTTCCCTTTTTAAAATCACATTTTAGCTACTTTGGCGAAATCTGCTTTTGGTTTTTCTTGTTAGGTGTCAGTCTTAGATGGATTTCTTTAGGAGAAAATGTCAGAAAATGCAGTTCAGCTATCTGGAAGGCTGAAGCTAAGAGAAAAATGCCTTGCTTTGACAAGTTCTGGCAACCTTTTCTTTGAGAAACTCCTGGATCCCAAGAGAAACTGGAGAGGAACCTTGAAATTCAGCAAGCCATAATCCTCACATTAAGGATATGCATTTTGTTGTTTCTAAAAGAAATCTTCTCAAACCTGGATGATTTATAAATCTCTTCAAAATCACTGTTTGCCTATGCCTGAGAGAATTTTTTTTCACCTAACAGGCTAAAGGTCCCTACCCAGCTGCTCAGCTCAACTTGCTGTGTGTGCTGCCTAGCTCTGGATTCAGATGAGCAAACAGAGAGCAAGAAAATAGCCCAGCAGTCACTTCTATATTCATTGCGAATATATGTAACAACACAGTTTTTGATAACACAACCACATACTATTTTTTCTCTAGAAATGCTTCATTAATTTAGTGCTTCTAAGAGGTCTGCTCTAGGGATGAATCTGAATTTTGCATTAAAGCAAGCTGCTTTCTGTCATTTTTCAAAGAAGCTGAAAGACTTCTGTAACAAAAGGGACTATATAAGGCATGATTGAAGCCTCTGGTGTACGAGACTCCCTGCAAGCTGCAAGATATTAGGTGACTGCTTTAACCAACATTTTTAACGAGCCGGACACCAATGAAGAGCTTCTAATTTTCTTTAGAGCTTAGCATCCAACTTGCAAAGATGTAATGCATGCAAATGTGTGCTTTGAACCTACAGTTTGCTGCAGGGTTATCTTAAAATTTAGGTTACTAGCAACTCAAACTGCACGTCAAAAACCAGTGGCTATTTTTGGCTGTACCTCAGCTTTCCATCTGTAGAATGGACACAATATATACACAGATTTTTTTTTGAAAACACAGTCTCTGGTAACTGTGGATATTCAGACACCACACTTAAAAAGGCTCTTTTTCTTTAGAAAAAAAGCTTAAACGGCATATGATAAATAAGTGGTTGCACGTGATAAATAACAAGGAATACATAAAATGCCAAATGCTTTAAAAATTGAACACCCTCAATCTACACATTATGTAAAATGAGGACTCTAGAGATTGGAGATGCTGTTGACCAAGCCATGATTGCCTGAAAGTGCATGTGCACAAGAAATCTGAATCCAGGTCACACAGGCAACTCTGTTGTTACTTTGGAGTGCTTTTATTACCTTGTTAAGTTCTCTTCACACAGCAAGAGTAACATTCAGCTTTATCAACGTTATAATCCTCCTAATTATTCCATCACTTTAGTCAGACATAGAGTTGAATCTGAGCAGAGAATCTGTACTGCAGTAGGAATGCCCCTTCACCTTGGGAGCTAGAAAACCTGTGTACGAACATGCGATAGGCACTGAGAGGCTGCTTCCCTCCCACTCCCTGGTTAGATTTATGGCCACAACCTGATTTATGTTACAACCTTCATCCAGAAACTTACCTTGTGCTCTTTGAATTTGCCCAGGCTCTTCACAGTGACATTACCAATATTGTTCCCGCTTAGAAGATTAGTGTTTTTCTTTGATGCACTAGGTATGCCCGTGAGATTATTCGCATTAGCCAAAATTCATCCTCTAATTCTAGGCTGCATCTTTCAAATCTGAATGATTCTTGCCCATTTTGAAGCAAGAAATAACACTTCTGCTGGAGAAGACTTCCACATTGTCTCTAATTGCCAAAGGTGCCAACGAATATTATACACATCCCAATGCTCCGCAAATTGCTCCAGATGCTTCAAGCAAAGTTCCAACTCCTTGATCGCATGAAATACTCCACGAAATTGAGTAATCCACAACTTAGTATCTAAAGGATTGGTTAGTCTCCACTATCACTCTTTATCTCATTTTCATTAGTGTGTGTTAGTCCTGAAATGATCTCTCCACAATAATCCTCTCATTGATCTTTCTACCACATAGTTGTTCTAGAAATAGCAAGGTGTCTGAAGTCAAAATAACCAGTGCTTAACATCAGTATGTAGAGCTGAACAAAGATCATAAATGTATTCCCACAAGCACTTCCTCAAATGGAAAGATAAATTGTACTCAGCTGTGCTCATGACATTTTTGTGTTTGCTTCCCATAAATATTTGGTCTTCCTTGCTTGAAAATCATCCTATTCTGTGTTCACACACTGAAATATATGAACCAAAACAGGAATATTTTGTATGGGATAAGACCTTATTTCACACTGCAGGTGGACAAGCAACAGATCTGCAGGGCAACACTGCAGTTAAACAAGCCAGATAATACTTGATTATACCCTATACAATGAAGACCTGCACAAATATGCGATAGTTGTTTTCTAAATGTTTTACATGACGGCTGAAAATACAAAATGCACTGCCTTGGGACAGCAACAAATCCTGATGGTATATGACAAGACAAAGAGGTACTAACAAGCTGTGTAAGCTCCATAGATACCTAAAATATTCTCCTCTCACAGCATTTGTTTCAGAACATCAAAGTAGTCTCATTATAGATAAGGCATGGAGGAATGCCCAACACAATGATTGTCCCTTCCACCCTTCCTGTTTCTATTTTCAGCATTTTCC